GTCATGCTCAGGCACAGCGACTCCAGCGTGGGGTTGATCTCCAGGTCCGTCCCGGGGGGGGGACACTCTGGGGGGGGGAAAAACACAAAAAAAGGGTCAGGGGGGGCGTCCCCAAAACCAAACCCCCCCACCCCAAAACACCCCCCGCCATCCCCAGCCCCCCGCCTCATTTTGGGGGCTCTCTCCCCATTTTGGGGTCTCCGTCCCCATTGTCGGGGACCCTCTCCTCGTCTCCCCTCTCCCCATTCTTGGGGTGCTCCTCCCTATCCACCCCCACCCCACAGAAACAATCTCAGGGGCTTTTCCCCAATTTTGGGCCCCCCACCCCCCATTTCTGCCCCCCTACCCCATTTCTGGCCCCCACTGCCCATTTTTGGGTCTTTCCCCCCACTTGAGGCCTCCCACCCCCCATTTTTGGGTCCCCACCCCATTTTTAGGCCCCTCACTCCCATTTCGGGCCCCCTGCCCTCCATTTTGGGCCCTGCCCTCCATTTCTGCCCCCCCCGCACTCTCCATTTCTGGGACCCCTTCCCCATTTTTGGGACCCGCACCCCATTTCTGCCCCCTACCCTGGGGGAAGGCGAGCAGGGCCGAGCTGTGCACGGGCAGCGAGTGCGTTCTCTGCACGGCCCCGCGGCTCCCGGGGGACCCCCCCGGGCCCCCCCCGAACCAAAGGCTCTGGGGGGGCAGCCGGGGGGTCACCGGGGGGGCAGCACCCCCCGGCTGGGGGGACACCCCTCAAAATAGGTCTCTGGGAGGAGAGGGAGATCCCCCCTCCCCGCCCCAAGCTGAGTAAAAACCAGCAGGGACAGGGAGATGTGCCCCCTCCCCAGGATAACTCCAAAATCACCCCCCAAAATCCTCCCCAAAGCTGCCCCAAAATCCCACCCAAAACCTCACTTCCTCCCCAAAATCCTCCTCAAAATCCACCCCCAAATCCTCCTCAAAACACCCCCCAAATCCTCCCCAAAATCCTCCTCAAAATCCCCAAATCCTCCCCAAAATTCCCCCCCAAATCCCCATCTCCCCCCCAAAATCCCTCCAAAATCCCCATTTCTCCCCCCCCTCCCCCATTCACTCAAAATCCCCCCCCCGGCCTCCCCAAAACCCCATTTCCCCCCCCCCATCCCTCCAAAATCCCAGTTTCCCCCCCAAAATCCCCCAAAAATCCCCATTTCCCCCCC